GTGGCATCATCCCATGATGGTGTCCAGCCCCCCCAGATCCCTACGTGTTCTCACCCCTGTGCTGTTCCAGCAGCTCGGCCCTGGCTGCCTCTAGAGGGTCTGGATCCTGCTCCCCAGGACTTGCCCAGGACAGACAAGTGTGGATTTTCCAAGAGAAAACAAATTCCTCCTTTGGGTAGCCTTTTTTCTCCCAATGCTTTAAGCCTCCTGAGTGTTGGAGTCTTTACTTTTGACAAGAAACCCAGCTTGAAGTGTTGCTCAGGAAGGAGGAGTGGGATATGGGTTATTATTATTAGCCAAGAGAGCCAGGTATTAATTTCAGTTTAGAAGATAAAAAGAGGAATTTCTCATAAAAGTTAGTCCTTGAGCATAAAAAAGACTCATGAAATTTTACTACTGATTGTATTGGTAGGTGGACTTACAACAGGTTTATAAGGTGAATAAAGTCCATTATTAAAACAAATGAGTGTGCATGTGTCAGTGTTTTAACCAACAGCTTCAGGCTGCACTGAAGATTGCCCATAACTGGAATAACTGAGTGCATTGGTTTTCAGTCCCACTGTGTATCCTTGAAAGTGGTTTTTCGGGGGGTTAGTTTTCCTGCTGCTGAATAACCTTTCAATAGGGTAAAAACCCCAAAACCAACCAACCAGACTTTCCTACCAGATGTAGAACTGCTGAGTTATGACTGACATGGCTAATGGACGTCTTTTCTTGCTTTTATTGACAAATATCTATCAAGGGCCAGCCCAAGGATCCCAGCTTGGTGTTTAGAAGTCACCTGCAGGGAAGTGCTGTGGGTGCAGGAGTCATGCTTGAGCAGCCCAAACTCGTGACATCTTAAGTCTGAATGGTACCAGATACAGAGGGGAGGAGAGCACAGCCCATCTGTATCTAAAATCCAGGAGTTCTGTGGGTGATAACACTTTTATGCCAGATCTAGAGTCAGTTTGGTGACTTCACTTGGGGGAGACAGAGTTCAAAAGTTGCAGGCAACAGAAGGAGACTCAATGTAGTTGAGTTGTTCACCTGCTCCTTGCTGCTTCTGTGGCACATTGCTTCAGCTGTGAGTTAGAGCTCAGTCTGTATTTGTAGGATTAAATCAAAGATTTAATTCCTTTTGTAGCTTTATACTCTGAAGTGCTTTCATCAGGCTACTGTTGGGTTGATTTCCTTGTGCTCTCCTCACCAAAGTATTTAATGCCATTAACTTCAATTAGAGCAGCTGATATGAAACCAAAATCAACTCAGTTTCACAATGTAATGATACCCAGTGTGCCCAGATGATGCTCAGGTGACCTGCTAATGAATTGGGGTTTAATTCCAGTGGAATGAAAGCAGCCTTCCAGTATCTGAAGGAGATCTACAAGGATGCTGGAGAGTCACTCTTCGTCAGGGACTGTAGTGATAAGACAAGGGGGAATGTTGGAGGTGCAGTGAGCACGCTTTGGGAGCATCTGTCCATATGCAGCAGTTGTGTACTAGGGAATTCGGAAAGCTGCCAACCCATCAACTCGATTAGTTGCAAGGAGAGCAGGGTGGGAATTGAGGGGATCCCTCTTTGTTGGGAGCCTCCTGATCTACCCTGGAGCTGCAGGTTGAGCTCAGGTGGGTTGCCACCCATGGAAACTTCATGGATTTCTGGCTGTGTTGTCTGACAGCAGCTTCAAGGTCCTTCTTGGAGTGTGGAATTTGTGTGTTTGGGCCCCACCACATCTCAGCACCAGCCATTCATGAGCAGCGGGGGGAAAAAGACTGGCACCTGGGGAATGCTGTAGAGGTGGGTTGTGAGCTGGTATGGAGAGGAGGACCCAGCTGGGATCATCCAGTGGGACTCAAGAGTGATGCAGGTGAGGGAGGAAAAAGATGAGGGTCTGCCTTTGATTTCAGGTATTGAGCAGTTTTAGAAAATCACATTTTTTCCTTTCACTTCAAATTTACACCCCCCCCCCCCCAAATCCCACCTTTTAGGAGGTTCAGTCTGTTGGGATTGTTTGGGATGAAGACAAGCTCCTGTAGCTTTTCCCTTGTTTGGGACATGAACAGAAAATGGTGTAGCTTTGCATTACCTGAAGTAAATTGCATTGGCATTTTTAGAAGGCCGTTTTAAGCCACATATGAAGTAGTAATAGTAGACATTTAAAAGCAGATTCACTTGTACTGCTGTCATCTAACAGCAGGTTCAGATTGCTGTAGTTAAGGCTGTGTCAGCAGTTGTGGCTTTCTGTGGTGTAAAACTGCTTCTGAAGGCTTTTGATTCGTGGTTTTAGATCATACAGTGCAATATTATACATATTTAACAGGAGGGTCAGTATTGCTTCCATGTATGAGTGATGTGGGGAGTGACTTTTAGTATTCTTTGAATGCAGCCATCTCAAGGTTTGTATAAGCTTGTTTGTCTTAAAGCAAATTAGAAGTTTCTTCTTGTAACTTCTGCTTTTTCCCTTTTAATCAGAGTAAGATCTTATTCCAGGGCTACTTGCATCTTGCATGTTTAATGCTGGAGCAGGTCCAGAGAAGGGTACCAGAGCTGGTGCAGGGCCTGGAGCACAAGTGTGATGAGGAAGGGCTGAGGGACCTGGGGGTTTAGTGTGGAGAGGAGAAGGCTCAGGGGGGACCTTATCGCTCTCTGCAACTGCCTGACAGGAGGATGGAGCCAGGAGGGGGATGGTCTCTGCTCCCAAGGAACAAGGGATGGGACAAGAGGAAGCGGCCTCAAGCTGCCCCAGGCAGGTTTAGCTGGAGCTGAGGAACAATTCCTTGCCCAGAGGGTGCTCAGGCATTGGAACAGGCTGCCCAGGGCAGGGCTGGAGTCACCATCCCTGTGAGTGTTCACACCCCGGGTAGACGAGGCCTCAGTGCCAGGGGTTAGTGGTGGCCTTGGCACAGTGCTGGGGAACGGTTGGACTTGATGATCCTAAAAGTCTTTTCCCACCCAGTTGATTCCATGATTCTGTATCACCAGGTGAAAAAAGCTACAAGAGTAAGTGGTAAGCATTCCCTTTTGGAATGAGGGAAGAGAGGAAAAATGTTAACACTTCCCATCACAGTTTTGCCAGGCACAGTCCTGTTGAGGTAGGACCATCTTGGGAGCAAATTCCCAATGGAATTTGGTGCCAGATCACTGGTGCTGGGCAGTGAGGCATTGCTGGGGGTGCCATACTTCGGGGTGATCAACAAGCAACCTCTGGGAAGTCCAAGTTCCATGTTGTGCTCTGATCACACTTAGCTATTCCCCCAGTATTCCAGCTTCAAATATCTGTGCCTTTATTGTCTTGCAATTGCTGTTCAGGTGAGATCTCATTTAAACCTTTGTGCTCGCTTGCCCTATTTTTGGAATGAAAGGGAAGAAAGTTGCAATTGGAATGGTTTTATAACGACTGTGATTGTTTCAGTTGTTATAAATCAATCATTCTTTCTTTCCATGAAGCTACAGTGCTTGCATGTGAAAGCAGCCATTTATTTGAGGTGTTGAGAGGCATCTGAAGTGTTTTGTTAATACCTGTTAACACAGCAACGTTGGTAAGGCTATGGTTGGGGGAGACAGTGAGAAAGCTTACAAATGGAGTGACCTAAAAGAGGAGGCTGGGGGTTGTTCTGTGTTATTTAAAACACCAGCACTCACCAAAGCTCCCTCCTGTGGCTTGCCAAGACCCGAGTTCAGGATGATGTGTTTGCCTGCAGCAGCTGAAAAGAGGCTGTGATGGGGCTGCAGCATCCTTGGCTGTTGCTTGGGGGACTCTGGGATCCAGTCTGACTGGAGGAGAAAGGATTTCAGCTGCAGGTAGACTCTGAACTCCCAATAAACAGCACTCTGCTTTCTGTCCTCTTCCTCTGATCCATCGGGATAACGGCATTACACAATGCTGGGGTTTAAATAGGTGTTTAATTCTTTCAGGTTAGAAATCAGCAGCCTTGAGTTTTGCTTGGGTGCTGCTGTGAATTTGTTCTGCAGCCATAAGCAAGTCACCAGCTTGTCCTTTAGCACCGGGGAAGTAACTTTAAAACCTATGTTTGGTCTTGTAGGGTCTCTAGCCAGCAGGGATCAGGCCCTTGCAGCAGCCTGACTTTGGCCTTGATGTCTGTAGCACCTCTGAAGATCAAACTGGCATTAACTTCCCAGGCAGGCAGTGCTCTGCAAGCCTTTCTCTCTGTCTTGTGTTTGGTTTTGGCAAAGGAAACTGATGCCAAAATGTTCATTTGAGTATTGAAATGAAGCATTAACTCTTCTGTTCAGTTTGTATCCTTCCTCTTGCACTTGACTGTGGCTTCCAAATCCTGAGCAAGGCTCAAACACAAAACTTTGTCTATTCTTCTCTGGAGCTGCACTGCCCTTCAAGGCCTCTTGGCTGCAGGTGGACTGTTCTTTTGCCCAAGGAACTTGTTCCTCATTCATGTTGCTGGATTTAAGTCCCTTAACATGGTTTGGACTCTCCGTGCTCTCTGAGATGCTAGGATATTGGAAATAAAGCAGGCATAAACCACTTTGGCAACAGTACATTGGAAGCTGCAAGTAGTATCGGCTGGTGGGAGATCTGGCCTGTTGCATGAGCACATTGCTTTACTTCTCTAAACCATCAGTCCTGTCCAAAGTCAAGAAGAAGATGATTAAAACAAAACCTCTTTTCCTGACCTGCCTTTGTATGTTCCTTTCTTGCTGGACCTTTCATGCGGGGTGTACAGACCACTTCCTGTTTGTGAAGATGAACAAATAATTCCATTTGATGAGCAGGAATTAAGGTAACTGCCTAATAGAATCGGGAATGAACCTAGGGCTTTTCAAAGATCAGGATAAATCCTAATCCATGGAATGTGGAGACTGTGATGTCCATCGAATGCTGAAGTAGCCTTCAGGAGCTTACAACCAATGCTCACCTGAAGGACAGCACAAAGAGAGGGATGCTCTTGGGGCTCTGCAGAAACCCGCAGTGGGATGTTCTTGAGTGCAGGTACCTCAAGGTCAGTTCTGGGAGTGATTCTTTTCCTCTCCTCCTCTCTAGGTATGGCTTTGTTGAGTTTGATGATCTCCGGGATGCAGATGATGCTGTTTATGAGCTCAATGGTAAAGATCTCTGTGGGGAGAGAGTGATCGTGGAGCATGCCCGAGGCCCGCGGCGTGACAGCAGTTACGGTTCTGGACGCAGTAAGCACTAACATGCATTTGTATCCGTGACTTCTTTTAAATAAAACATTCTTTTTATTTTTTTTCATTTTCTTTTTTTTTTTAAAGTAATTTTAAAAGAAAATGCTATCAAGTTGTGACTAGTGTTCTGTAACTGTAAATGTAACTGTCGATCGCAATATTTATTAACTTGTTTGTTGTATTAAATGATTTTAATGGATAACTTAATAAAACAGTTTCTCGTACCTTTTTTTTATTATTATCATTTCGTTTTAACTATTTGAATGGTTTATTTGCACTGTGATGTTTAACATAGTTTAACAAAGACCTCAATGTTTTAATTGAAAGAGTCCTTTGAGGCTAAGATGACTGCCCGTTCCATTTGCTGGCCTTGGGTTACCTTTCCATGAGTGGCTCTTTGACCTTTGTGGCCCTTTGACGACCGCAACCTTTTCCCATTAGACCTGGGTGGTGAGGATCCCAAGGGTTAGAGACAGATGAGATTAATCTGAAATAGGTGCCTGAAAAGCTTTATTCATGTCAGATATTCAGAAAGCCTTTAAGCAATGTAAGTAACCTGAGTAAACTGGCTTGATTCGGTTGCTTCTTTCCAACTGTTTTAAACATTAACTTTAAACTTAATTGCATGTTCCTCATAGCATAACTCTAATGATGTGCCTTGTTTTAATAGTAAACTCTTCTTAATGCTTTGGGTCTACGTAATGTTTGCTACAAGGGGGATGGAATTTAGACTTGGGGCAGGGAGGGGGGGAGCTCTAATGTCTTCACAACCGTGCGGGGCAGAAAAGTCTTTGTGCGGATGTAGAGCGAGCGCTCCATTGCCCCAGCTGAAGTACTGCTGTCTGCTTGTCACCTCCTAAAGGTGGATATGGTTATAGAAGAAGCGGAAGAGATAAGTACGGTCCTCCCACCCGTACAGAATACAGATTGATTGTGGAAAATTTGTCAAGCCGCTGCAGTTGGCAAGACCTTAAGGTATGGGGCCCCTTTCTTTACCCTCTCGCTAGTAAAGAGCACAAAGGGTAAAAAAGTTAGTGTCTGTTTCAACAAGGAAAATGTATACACCCATGTTCTTTACTCCAACTTGATAGTCTGTGCTCGCACACATACAAGTAAATTTTAGATGCATTACACACCTTAAGTCAATATGGAAGTATATTTGCATTTGTGAAATCATTAATGCAACATCAGGACTTGCACCTACAGACTTAATGTCTGGACAGTGGGAGAATAACTCTTTTCCTTACCACAAACCAGCATCACGTACAGATGGGTTTTATCTTTAAGCCTTGTCAAAACAGACTTTAATCATGGCCAGCAGTAGGACTCAGTAGAGATGGAGGAGTTTGTCCTTGTCACTTTGGATTTGCCTTGTCAACTAGAACTGTTTGGGAATGATAGCATCGTTCTTGCACAGCCTCTGTTAAGAATTTCCACACCATGTAAAGAGTGTTCCAGGGAAAGGATGCTTCCAGAAGGAGCAATCGGGCAAAGCCTCTGCCAAAAGCTAGTATTTTCTTAAGTCCAAAGAAGTGGAAAGGGATTATCAGCAGTGTCGGGTAACACTGTATAGGCCACAGGACCTCTGAGTACGCTGGAGGTGAAGTACTGACTTATCTACATCATGGATTGAGGGAGCAGAGTTCCAATAGTAGGTGCAAAAAGGTATTTTGTCCTTATGAAACTTAGCATAGTTATTTCCTTATCAAACACAGCAGCAATGGTTAAAAGCACTTGTTCTTACAGGAACGCTTTCTTTTATGGTTCTCTTTTAAGGATGTGTAAAACTTGTTCTAAACTAACTTTGACGTAGTAGAAACTGGTCTGTAATTGAATATGTAACACTAGTTCAGGTATGTACTGAGACTCTTCAAATGTCTTTTGTTGTTAATGCTTCACACCATCAGTAGCTTGTCTTTGCTTCTGGTATTAAAAATTGTAAGTAGAGCATGGCATGATTAATCCTCTTCTGGATGCACTGCTTTGGGGTTTGAATAGCTTTCATTTCAGTGGACTTCAGCTGGGAGTAGCTGGGTCGGAAACAGACTCAGCTGGAGCTCTGTGCCCTGATGCCATCGCAGCCGAAGTCTGCGCTGGCTGAGGGCTTGCTCAAAGCAGGGCAGGATGGCCCTCCCTGCTAAACAGAGGTGTTTAGTGAGTGAAACAGGGAAGTCAGGAAGCATGAAGTGGGAAAATGAACTGAGCTTTTATTTCCTGGAGGGTTCTTCCGGCAGAATGAGATGTTACCGAAGTGGAGGACAAAGGGAAGTCCGCTTGCCTGTAGTCTTCTTGCCTCTTCCTATTCAACCTTTATCACCTCTCCCAAGTTACCTTTGAAAACATGAGTTTAGAGAGCAAGCATTTGATATCCTTAATCACTTTTTAATTTGAAATTGATCATGGTCAAGAGCTTATTTGATACAAGACTCGAGATGGAAGACCTTAAATTACTATTTGGCTCCAAATTAGCCACCTTGGTTCTAATCACACACACACTCCCAAAAGCGGAGTGTCTTATTTGGCTTGCTCAGAATCCTTGGTGTTGGCACTGCAAATGCTGTTTGGTTAAACTCTTTTGCTGCCATTGCTGTAAACAGAAGAGGCCAAGTGAACCTCGTTGCAGGAATGAACAGGGTCAGCCTGGAAGCCTGACTCTGGATTTGAGGCAATGGTTATTCTGTCCTCTTCCTCTAGGATTATATGCGTCAGGCAGGGGAAGTGACATATGCAGATGCACACAAAGGAAGGAAAAATGAAGGTGTGATTGAGTTCAAATCCTATTCTGACATGAAAAGAGCCCTTGAAAAGCTGGACGGGACAGAAGTAAATGGCAGAAAGATTAGATTAGTGGAAGACAGACCTGGATCGAGACGGCGCCGCTCTTACTCCAGGAGCCGAAGCCATTCAAGGTATGTGTCTAATGTAGCTCAGGCTGAATCTAGGTGCAGTGACGTGAATATACAGCAGGTCCTAGAACACCTCGGAAGTGTTCAGAGTTCTCCATAAATGAAGATTTTGAGAGCATATTAGTTACCTCTAAGTAACGAAGGCACAGGAGGCTTCTGCTCAGCGGTGTCTCCCTTGGTGAATGTATCTGCTGGCTACAGCGTGCTGCTCTTCCTCCCCAGCTCCATCAAGCCCATGGTCCTTGCTGTCTGGCAGGAGAAGGCTGTGTGGCAGGTGGAGCTGTGCACACAGGATGAGACAGAAGGTGCTTTTAACACTTAGGCTCTGAGCATCGTGTTCTGCTGTAAGCACCAGGACTAACAGTTCTTTCTCAACTCGAACCCCCCAGCCATTCCCTGTTACTTAGAGGTTAGGTGATTGTTGTATGATGCAGAGAACTGCTGCAGCACACAACCCCAAGTATTCCCCCCTTTCCGTTCCAGGGTAGAACTTGTTGCAAGAAAACTCAGGCAAACTTCTGTTCACAGAACAGCTTGCTTAGGAAAGCAGAGCCTGAAGGCAGAGCCTTGTCCTAGCATCTCACTGGATTCAAACTCTGGGAAAATGAGTTGTGCTTCCTTATCTTAAGGTTGCATGTTTTCTTCCAGATGAGCAACCCTGCTCGCTTCCAGACGTGGCAGTGGGGAGGAGGGTGCTCTAGGTTTGTAACCTTATTGTGTAGCGTTCTCACCATTCAGCTGCTTGAAAGATGCTTTAATGCTGTGGGGTTTTACCCACAGGGGATCACCAGCTCTCTGTGGGCATGTGCTAATGTTGAGCTGATTGATTTTGTTCCAGGTCTCGCTCGCGAAGCAGACACTCTCATAAGAGCAGGAGCCACAGTGCCAGTAGCAGTCGCTCCAAGAGCAGATCAAGATCCAGGTATGTCTTTGTGTTGGTAGAAACAAGGACTACCCACGTAGATGAGAAGCATCATCCTAAATCTGCAGTAGGAATGTTGTTTGCCTTTCACCTACCATATTATGCACACTAAGTGCCAGTCAAGTCCATGACACACTAAAGCCCATCTCCCTGTTGCTTTCAGGTCTGTGTCCCGTTCCAGAAGCAAGAGCCATAGTCGAAGCAAGAGCCATAGCAGAGGCCAAAAAGAGAAAAGCAGGACTCCAAGTAAAGAGGATAAAAGTAGGAGCCGCAGCAGGAGTGCAGAGAAATCCCGAAACAAAAGTAAAGATAAATCTGAAAGCACTCTCCATAACAGCGATGAGAAAGCAAAGAGCAGGAGCTGCAGCAAGGAAAAGAGCAGGAGCAGGAGTAAGGACAGAGGAGAGCTGAGGGAGAGCATGAGGAGCAGGAGCAAGGAGAAGAGTAGAAGCAAGGACAGGGAGAAGAGCATCAGCAAGGCTAGAAGCAGGAGCAAGAGCAGGGATGAGAGTAGGAGCAGGAGCCACAGTAAGGATAAAAGGAAAAATAGGAAGAGAAGCAGGGATAACAGCAGGAGTAGAAGCAGGAGCCGCAGCAAGTGTGAGAAAAGCAAGAGGCGCAGCAAGCGAGACAGCAAACCGAGTAGCAAGAAGAAAAGGAAGGACGGCCACGAGCGGTCCAGGTCAGCCTCCAAAGAGAAGGAGCATCTAAAACCAGAGCCTGACAAAAAGGAGGCGAAAGGTGGGGGTGAGGATGCAGCCACATGTCCAGTGTCTCGCTCCAGGTCTAGGTCCATTTCCAAGTCAAAACTAAATGTCAAATCAGATTCTCGTTCCAGGTCTAAATCTGTTTCAAAGCCTAAGTCCCGGTCCAAGTCTAGATCTAGGTCTGCCTCTGGGTCACACTCCCGATCACAGTCAAGGTCTCGCTCCACATCCTAACCTTGCTGCTCCCACACTTGGACCAGCTGGAGAAGTCTTTTGTACATGTGTAGTAGTTGTAGCGCAAGTGATTGAAGTAGAAAACACGTCGATGCTGTATATTTTCAAGAACCCTGGTGGAATGTCTCATTGTTCATGCAGTGCTCCCTCCCTGCAGTGCTCGCTGGTGCAAGGCTGCTCATCTTCTACCCTAGAGAGAGCTTCTCTTTAAATCCAGCTCTTCCAGAGCTCCCATATTGCCCTGGTTTTCCAGGAAGAGCCTTGCAGGGAATGAGCACTGCCCCTTGGTGGGTATATGGGGTGGCAGTGCTGACTGATAGGTAGGTATGATGGCCTCAGCAGTCTTTGCCCTTGAATTGATGCCCTTTGGTGTACACCATTTAGTGGAAGTGCTAAGTCTTCAGTTTCATACTACTTTTGTTCCCTATTTTTTGGACTTAAAGTTGTGAATAGCACAGTCAAAAGGGGGGTGGGTGGGGAAAAAAAGAGGTACTTGCAGAAATCCATAGGGAAAAGTAGAGCTCCGTATTGTGGCAATATCCTTGTTTTGTATTATTTTTTTATTTTACGTTTTCCCCGTCTTGCAAAGTACAGTGATTCCTGTTTCCATGAAATTTGAATAAAGACTATTTTTGCTTGATGACATTTGGTGGTGCTTACATGAAGTTGTGATTGGTGGTGGTTTATATCAGCTGGTGTAAGCTTGAATTTGCAGGAGAGCTCCTCACAGAGAATGGCTTCTTGCTTTAGAAAACCACTTGAATATTACTTGTGCTTCTAATTTGATCTCATGGTCCGTGATTGTGTGTTTGGGATTTCGGTCATGAACCATGACTTTGTATAAAGGAAGGCATTCGTCTGACCCAGGTGGGACAAGGACATTGCAGACTTTGATAGCACAAACCTGTCCTTGCTCTGGGCACTGTGCAGCAGCACTTGTCTTAATGTCCCCTCAAAATGAGGGGGGAATTGTTGCTTAGGGATGTCCAGGAATGGATTGAAGGTTCAGTTCATGCATGGTCCTCTCCTGGAAGGGAGCTGCTGCACAGAAACCCTGTTCTCTGAATTCGCAGCATCCAGATGGGCTCTGCCTGTTGGCTGAAGTCACAGAGTCATAGAATCATGGAATGGTTTGTGTTGGAAAGGACCTTGAGCTCCTCCAGCTCCAACCCCTGCCACAGGCAGGGACACCTTCTACTAGAGCAGGTTGCTCCAAGCCCCTGTGTCCAACCTGCCCTTGAACCCTGCCAGGGATGGGGCAGCCACAGCTTCTCTGGGCACCCTGTGCCAGCGCCTCCGCACCCTCACAGGGAAGAGCTTCTGCCTCAGAGCTCATCTCAGTCTCCCCTCTGGCAGGTTCAAGCCATTCCCCTTGTCCTGTCCCTCCATCCCTTGTCCAAAGCCCCTCTCCAGGTTTCCTGGAGCCCCTTTAGGCACTGGAGCTGTTCTAAGGTGTCCCCTTCAGGAGCCTTCTCTTCTCCAGCTGCCCCAGCCCAGCTCTCAGCCTGGCTCCAGAGCAGAGCTGCTCCAGCCCCAAGAGCAATAATAAACCACTATAACGAAGTTGTATTTCTGATTTAGGGTTGGAATACCCATCTCACAGCGCAAATGCAACTTGCAGATGAGCTCTGAGGAAGGAAAGAGGAACTCGTGCGGCAGGCACAGGGCTGGTTGTGTCAAAATGCTGAGTCAAAGCAGTGAGATAAAGGGGCAAGAAGCCCTGAAACAGGGATCTCCATAGAACTTCCCTTCCTCCCATTAAAACCAAAATATGAGTCTAAATAAACAGGGATAGTTTTGTTAGTTGTAAACTCTTTTGGCTCCTTGACATCCCTGTAAACCTGGATCCAATGAGTGCTTCAAACCCCGACTGGGATCATCTGTGGAATTAGGGATCCAGCTGGGACTCGCTGGCACGGATGAGGTGGGGAATACGTTTGTTTTCTGGCTGCTTTGGAAGCCGGTGTTTTCTGTGCTCCGCTCGAGGGATGAGGACCATCCCGGTGTGTATTCCAAACGAGCCATCCCAAGTCTGAAATCCCAACTGCGTTTCAGTGGGCACAGCTTGGGGCCCGCTCCTGCTCCTTCCTCGGCAGCGGAAAACCCCAAAGCACCACTGAAAATCCCGCCAGCGCTGCTTGCACGGTCTCAGGAGTCAAACACGGAGGAAAATAACGTTCGATGAGAGGAAAACCAAGTGTAACAAATGCAGATAATAAGGGAAATGTTTCGTATGAACCAGCGCCAGCCT